ACTCATCCGAGTCACTGGCAGCAAGAAACCTGATGTGAGCGAAACAATCTGAGAGGATGACGGGATGCCAATCAGTAACGTCCATCGACGTCTTGGACGATGGGCAGAATTCTTCGCAACGCAGTTCAATCCTGTAGTCACCCCGGATGGTGAGCAGAGAGAAGTAGTCGAGAAGTTCGTGTATCTAGGTAGCTGTATAAGTGCGGATGGTGGCATATGTGGTGAGACCAATTCACGTATAGCGAGAGCCAGAGCGATTTATGCCAATCTGGACCACATTTGGCGCCTTCGTGATGTTAGTCTGGCTGTAAAAGGTCGGATCTACAGCGTGTCGCTGAGAGCAGTTCTGCTCTATGCTTGTGAAACCTGGCCTCTCCGAGTTGAGGACGTTAGACAACTCTCTGTGTTCGATCATCGTTGTCTCCGAAGGATTGGTGACATCCAGTGGCAACACTATGTTAGTAATGCAGAGGTTCGGCATCGTGTGTTTGGGCGCAGAAACGATAACCCAATTGGTGCCGCCATCTTGAAATATGGACTTCGGTGTCTTGGACATGTTCTCCGAACGTCGTCCCAGAGAATTCCACGTCGTGCATTATTTGCCGACGCTGGGACTGGTTGGAAAGAGCGGAGAGGTGATCAGTGTATGACATGGTGTCGGGGCATGAAAGAAAGCTGTACGGGACTGGTTTCTGTTGTTCCTTCCTGACTGGGGTCCGAGAGATGGTGTGACACAGTGGCTAGAGACGTTATTAGATATGACTCAGAATAGAAGCCAGTGGAGATCTCGCTGTAACCTTTTACTTTCTTCATAAAAAGTGGTTGTATCTCCCTTAACTGGAAGAATTCTACGGGTTGTACGTTTCCTTTCCCCTAATTACTATTACACTAATCTGGTCGTTATTGTTCTTTTTTTACGCTCCTTACTTTTTTTTCTTTCCATTCTCATTGTTTTGTGTGTCGCATATATATTTGGTGCCCCCTTGTACTAATATTTATGTGTTCAAATAAATAATAATAAACCCCCACTGCTCTTAGCACACGTAGCTATCAAATCTTTAAGTAAAGCATCAGTTTTCTTTAGTAACTTCCCCTTAAGCCTTTTCAAATTCTTTAAATCCAGTATTGACAGTCCTGTTTCGCTAACTAAAAATTCACAAGGTATGTATGAAGAATTAGAATCTCTTATTAGCAATTCACAACATCCTCGTATGGGCAGTCTGTGTCCAGTAATCCCAAATATTGATACTTCAGTGGGTCGCACCACAACGTTAGGATCTAAAGATTTCACGTTCTCGAATGAAATACTGCACTCTATACTGCCTGTGTTCACAATAAAGTCATGAAATCAACCAAGCGATGTACATAATCGCTTTTGAATATGAGCATTACCTTTCGAAGTGGTAGACAAAGATAAATGATTATTAGGAACAGCCCAATTATTGGAATATAAATTAAGAGATTTGGTACTACTTGAGGTAAAATGAACAGCAATTTTGCATACTGACTGAATGTGTACTATCTTACCACATTTAAAACATTTAGCAGTACGAAATGCACATGAATTACGTGGATGAAATTGTATTTCATCATGACGACGAGGCAAAGTACTAGAAATTCTCATCGACTGGATATCAAGTTCATTCACTTCCGCGTAGTTAATACATGCCGCTCTAGCATCTTGAAAGGAATAGTTTGGCATTCTTAACTGTTCTCTTTCCAGACCCCGTATGCTAATTCCTGCAATTACTCGATCTCTCAGTTGCACATGAAGTTGATCACCGAAATTACATTTGGCAGCCTGCTTCAAGGATGAATTTCCTAACCTTTTAGTCATTTTGACGAAGCATCTTATAAAATTTCGCCATTTCACGGCATTCAAAACTAGTTCACTTTACATGATTTAATAATAGCTTCTTAAGAGTTGCATAAGGAAGTGAGATAAGTTTTTCTGGATGCGCCAAAGTTTTTATTAAGCTGTATGCTTCTTTTCCGATGTCAGGAAATGTGCCACAATTTTATCACCCTCAACATCTTTCTTGGTCATGCTCCAGATTTCAAACTTTTCTAAATAATCCTCAAAAGCTTCAGAAGTTGGATGAATATCTAACTGTCCCATCGCGACGCCAATATGATAGTTAGGAGTATTTGGATTATAGTACACATTAGGAATCCCAATAATAACTCTATTAGGACAAGAAGTACTAGATAAGCACTAATGAATATACTATATTTGGAATTCGAAATCAAGCATTCAACAAGTACAAAGGATTCGTTAGTTCACACAAATACCACAGAAACTCTCTTAATCTAAAATAAATAGTTATCTGAATCGTTTTTAACCATATAGTGTAATGAATGCTATCAACGTAAATCTGTTTCTCGATTAAATCAAAATGGTATCATAGTCTCAATGTATTGTAAATGCAACAAGTTCTCATTCACACTTCCCAGTGAACAATTAGTTAGCTTTGAACCTAGTTCAGTTTGATATTTAGTTGAGACGTTGGGTACAGCTAATCAGCTTACGTCACTCCGTTAAGAATGTTGTTATGACAACTAAACCAGACCGTGATCAGGATCGACACATGTAATCCGAAAGAAACTATATTCTTGTGCCCATCATTGATCCAAACGACTCTCGTCTAGGCTTAAAAGCCGGATAAGCATATTCGAGCCAAGAGCTAGCCCTATAAAATATACCCGGAGACTTTTGATGGCGAAAGATCAATTCTTTATTACATTTCGGATGGGATCTGTTCGAACGTCTGGGGTGGTAATGAAAAGACGTCGTTTCATACGATAATCCATTTTAGCTCTGTTGAACCTTGTAGTTTAACAGCACACAAATCACTGTAATCGGAATTTAGTTTATTAATGTCGTATCGACTGTAGTGCTTAGTGCCACAGCGGGGTCTCTGAACATCATATTCATACTTCCAGGGCGATGAACATCCGAACGTGTTACAAGAAGTAGCTGGCCCAAACTCCCTTTCCATAGCACTAATGTGGTTAAAAGACTTACATATCTATTGAGGCAAACTCATCTTTAGATTACAAATAAGATGAATGTCATATGCCTGGAAATCCATCACTTCATAGAATAGAAAATCTTATCATATACTTCAAGATTCTCAGCTTTCTTCCAACTAAAATCGACTTATAATAAGGCCGATCTTAAGATCACTCAAAGACTATGTAGCTTAGTTGGGTGAATTTTGTGGAGATTAGTTTATAGGTTGGATTGGTGTTCGTCGGAGTGCCTCTGAAAACCAAGGAGCGTTGGACGATGCATCTCTGTATCGTAATTATGTACTGATTTTATTCCATAAAACAGTACGGTCTGATTAAGTTAGAAGCGTTCTGTCGACCAAATAATAGTTTAAGAAAACCTACCAATGGTAATATATAAGTCCCAGAATCGACATTTAAAATGTGTCACTATTAAAAACTGTGTCTTTAATAAGACACACTATATTATGCTACTAGACAAAATTAGACAGTAAACATGCTCCTCAGATGAATTACATCACTAGTCATTGTTTTAAATGTCCTTTAGCTATTACCATTGTCATTATTCTCCTCATTACAAAAAAGCATAACTTACGTACAAATTATTGAGCTAAAACGACCAACAGAATATTTATGCTTATTGCATTCTCTATTGATTGATTGCTTGGTTAATATATTATGATCACAACGAGTTAATAACTATTAAATGATAGAAAAACGAAATGTTTACAATATAAGAGACAAAACCACTAGTTGCTTAGCAACCTTATTCTTTTTTGGAGAGATTAAGAGAAACACTTTATGAAGTGATTAGGAAACAAAGATCTACTAAAAGGAGGATGTTAATATGTTCATAAAAAATCAAGACAAGTTTTCTTTCTAATGTCAAGGTTTTGGTCAATTGCATGCATATACTATAGATATAACGTAATTTGTATTGACTAGAAACGTTAATGCAAATAAGTAATCTTTTTATAGTGTATTACTACGGTTACACTATAGGCGACAAGTAGGTGTTGAATAGTATTCCTTTCTTCTTTTTTTACTTTATATGCATTCTAAATTCAATATTCTACATAAAGCAACTGACCGCTAATGAATTATCGGTATTAATTAAAATTGTTACTTTTAAATGATATCGTTTTGTTTTATACATTAATAAAATACTTGGTTTTTACATTAAGCTTATCGAACATTCATATTATGAATTTTCTACTAGTGGGTCCTCCATTTTCATGTCAAATGGATTTAATAACGGATATATTACAAAGTTCATGACTCCATCAGTGAATCAATGTAGTTTTCTTTCCTAAATCATGGTTGAGGGGAATTATCGTTTCCGTTGAACTCGGGCCTAAATGACTGTCACAGTAAAGAAAGTTACCATTAAGGCATCTGGGATGCCTTTACTAACGGATTCAAACTAGATCAGAGTTTACGCCAGACTGAATCACAAGTGAGGCGAATTGGCAAATCTCAGGCATGATTCTTGTTTCCATGCTTGAACTTCTCCAACCATCAGGGTTGATGAGACTTTCAAGATAAATGAAGTAGTCAACTCATTTAACCCTCTTACTCCCTATGACTAATTTAGGTGCTGACCCATAACTGTCCTGAAGCAACATTATATATTTAGAAGAGGAGAGACGTATCCCAACCACATTTTTATTATTAGTGAAGGCGTACTTTGTTAGTGACTTCACTAAACATAATTATGCTACATATGTATTTTAAGTAAATAGGTGCATCTTCTGGTAGATCAATTCCTGAAAAGTCAAACGAACAATTTGTTACCCTTAAAAACTGTCTATAACGAAATTTTCAAAAAAAGGAATAAAATAGGAATATTGACCTTTAATCAATAAACTTCAGACAGCAGGATTTTTTCAGCGTTACTATAGGAATCCAAAACTCCAACATGCTAGATGAGTTTACGTTCGTGTGTAAACAAGTATAAAAGTAAACAAAACGGATAAACAACAAACTGACCAATACTAACAATTTGATTTTTAGAAAAATCGATAAGCATAAACGGAAATTATTAGAGAAAAATTAGCCATTAGTAATGATAATACTAAATACCATTCCAAGAGAAGTAATAATGATGAAAGTATAAAAACAAGTATCCTTAACAAAATTATCACAGGCAATAGAATCGAAGTATGCGTAACATAGTGAGTATTATATATTTTGTATACTAGAGATTACAGGAGAAAGAAATCTAGTTTTTTCTCCCAAGTTTCAATCAACTTAATTTAGGATCAAGAGAAAATAAAAGAAAGCCTTAAAAAAGGCCAAAAGAAACTTATATACTGAATTAGGTAAATTTTTCCTGCATTGTTTAATAAACTGGTGTTCATAAAATAAGATAGCAACAAGAAGTGATAGACATCACTGTTAAGTGATGTTTATTGAGGAAGCACGTTTTCCAAATACTGTTTTGTGTGTTTGTATACATATAGTCTTAGGGGTTATACACATTCACGATGTGTACTTTTTGATATTGTATTATTGGTAGTCAATTGAGTTGTTAACGAACATGCAATAGGTTGACAAGGACTGATTAATGAAGGATTTATTAACATGTCTGGTTGGAATACACTAGCATAAGAACGCTTTAAAAATGTTAAATATGCCTGTAAACTTCGGTTCGTTGCATCAGCTTGATTCAATTGAGCTCTCAAATCATTTAAACGTATTTCAGTACGATTTTCTATTTGTTTTTTTTCGTTCTGAGCTTCACATAATTCTCTTCTTAGTTCTTGAATTAATTCATTATTTGTTGTGCCTGTTATATTTTGATCTTTTGATATGCCTATATTCTGAATACAAGTAGAATGGAATTTAGCAAAACAAGAAACAACTATAACTGAATTAATTTTGAAATCATTCGGAAAATATGCATAAAAACAATAAAACTTGACCTGATTAATAGAAAGTGAGTAATGAGTTAATAGTCAGAAGAGCTCAATATTCAACCATTAAGCCACAGATTGGAACCCGTTCTCCGAGTTTCGTCTGGGAAGCTGGTTAATATCACTTACACTCATACAAGCCATTTGCTTCAAAACCCAGTAAGTACAGTTACCTGTATGTGATAAATGAGTTATATCATTGTTAGTTTGAAGAACTATTGAATAAGTATGAGATAACACATATTTATTTTTGTATTGTCTACTGTTTAATAATCGGTTTGAATCTAATTATCAATACTTCTCGTCTTTCGGCAATTCTAATAATAATTCCACAGTATCAGAAGTTTTATCTTCTGAAGTATATTTACTGAGTAACTTAATATATGAGTGCTTGAGACCCACCGATAGTAGTGGTTCAAAATTTGAATGTACAAATTGTTTATTAACGTCCAGATGGAATATCATATCATCTGGATGGAACATAATGCGATTGTTTATTTTCCTTACTTACTAGCCAGATAAAATTGGTCAATTTAATTCAAAAAATATTTGTTAATAAATTAATAGTTCGTAATTTTTATGTGCTAAAATGCCATTTTTATCTGGTAGTAGCACATTATTTTCTGCTTGGAATTAGTGTAATTCACTGTTTTACTTAGTTAACAAAATACAACCAAATGAGCTACATTTTGGAATTTAATTGTATATTATCAGGATTTTGATTGCGCTTTAGCATTACTAGTCATCACACAATAAATGTAACTTATAGTCTCAAGCACAAAACCGTATTTATACTTCTTTATAGTCAAATCCATTTTATTATCTTTCCTTTCTTTGTATAACACTGAATTATTCACAGAGAAAATTCGAAAATCATACACAAACCACTTACAGCACTTCCATTCAGTTGACTGTTCTGACCAGAATAATCCTCACGGTCCAAATGCAATTGTTGGTCGCATTCTCCTAATTTCGATGATTGTTTTGTATTGACCGGAGTGCTAGCCACATAATCGCCTTTCTGGGATTCCTTTGATTGTAACGCATCCTCTAGAATACGATTACGGTGTTCTGCTTCAAGCAATCTTTGTTCTACATCATCCAACTGAATCTGACTACGCTCTCTGTCAGATTCTGTTTTCTGTAAAATATTAATATCCCACCAGATAATAAAAAAAATACGGGAGCAAGAGACTATAAAGTGACGGCTCGCAGAAGGCGTTGGCATACCCAAATTTTTTTAATTACTGTTACTTATCAACAAACTGTATCTGCGTACACAAGTCACACTATTCATCGGCAAAGTGAGACATTTATCCTCAAACTACTGAAGAGAAGCTTTATTCTCAAACTCTACAGCTTAGAAATATGCCGAGTTGTTTTTCTGATTCCATAAAGATACAGACCAATGTAAATAATTCAATCCAAATGTTTAGATTCACAAGAACGAGTCAAACCTGTGTTAGTGTCAAATTACATACGGTATCAGTTAACCCTAGTATGGTTGAAGTCCATAACATACCACAATCTGAAGGGCAAGACAGAAAAATAGAAAATAAATGTAGTGAATCTGAGGATAACCAGAAAAAGCCCCATAAACAGACAATTAGTCTGTATATAATTATCAATATTCAGTTGAATTGACACTGAGAAAACACCTTACGCATTTCGTAATGGTTGAACAGAATTCGTTTTAAATATAATTACGGGAATATAAATGTTACACGCATTTACGAAGGTATCTTTCGTGAGACAGCTAACAATAATCTGTCAGCATAACCCAAACTAGAAGAAATGAATATATAGTAATCATGAGATATAGATCCTCAGCATCATCGAGTTTGATTTTGAAGTATATTACATGAAATCTCTCTCCGACCATTTTTCAACAATGTTTAACTGAATCACTTATTAATAGCATTTTGACTTTATGAAATGATGATTCTACTAAGCTATTCTGCTGTTCTTTTACTCTGCCATAATTTAGTCAGCGGTTTATGTGATGAGAATTCTAATCAATGACGTTCGTATAACAATGCAATACTCAATGATTATTATTTGATCACGAAGAAAGAATTAAAAAATTAAACACTAAATGTGACAAAACCAGATTACTTTTAATCGTTCATTCAACGTATGTAGTCGACTAGCCTGCATTGCAGCATCTCCGTGATAATCATTTAGTAAAGCTTCACAAGTGGACAAACTAGTACGCAGATGCTGTAGTTCTTCTTCAGCTGCATGTAAACGTTGTTCGCATTTCGAAGCTACTTCACGTAATCGGAGATTTTCCTTTTTAATAGATAAGAAAATTATTGATAGACTGAAATCCCAATAATGAGATATAAAAATCCCTTTAAGACAGTAGATAGAAAGCCAATACAAGGAATGCTAAAACGTGCAGTGTCTAACACTAGGTCAAGGCCATATAGGTTATCCTAGCTTCCAGACAAACCAGTCTATTCATTTTTCTTCAGTCACATTTTACCTTGTCAATTATTCTCTTATTAAGTAGACTGTTTTGCATGAGTGTTGTACGTGTATCGTTTACCCTATTCATCACATATCTCACATAGCTTACTTTTTCTGGCTACAAATATTGAGTCACGTCTCATAAAAATGGGAGTTGGCACACCTGCCTTCCCGCTTCTTGTTCTTAATATGTGTCTGAACAAACGAGTGCCTGAAATAGATTTATCCGACGCAATCTGTATTTAGCTTCTCACAACCGCCGTCACACAAACAACTCTAGTCTAGGTGCTAAATTAAAGTTTTATGCTCATCTTAACAGTATTAAAAATCATTATGCGTGATGTAATTAATGTGAATGTGTTTTTTCTTATTGCAGGACAACAAAGAGTGGATGTGCTAGAAGAATAAGCCCTGCGTAAACTGGCCTTGAAAATGATTAGTGAGACTATATTTTAAATCAGCTTTCCATTTTTGTGACAGAACCGCGGTGTTCTATTTTCGAAATATATGCGTTGTGTTCTTCCTCCTCGGAGATTCACTGACCCTGGTTTGTATTCAGTTGTTTTTAGATCTCCCCTGCTTTCAAATAAACGCCGGTAACGTGTTAAACAGCACATTCATACGTCCATCCAAATCGGATTTAGATAAAAAAAAGGGTCACTAATAAACGAATTAAATGAGCAGAGAAATAAACAAACGAGTTGTGGGGTACTAAGGATATATAGAAAAATAAAAAAGGACGATCTCGCATTACCAGGGCTATATTTAAACTATTAATTTCTCGCAACTCAAACAAATAATCAGTGCTTTTATGCATTGGTGTCATTCGTTGACTTGACCAACTTTTATCTTTCATAAAATAATATGTCACAAATTCCGATAGAAAAGATCCGTGCTCAATATGTCGGATGCTAAATGATGGCATGATTCTAACTGGTTTACGGTTTTTAGTACTCAACGTCTCCTTGTGATTCTGATGACGATCACCTTAATAGGAAAAATGTATCTAAATATTGCTAGAATTTCAATCCTATCACCAAGAAATCCTAAAAATCTTAATAAATAATTAACTCGATCAAAATAATACCTAGTTTCCTGATATTTAACCATTTACGTGCTTGCACCAGATAATAAGCCACAGCTGTTATACAGAGGTTGATTTCCTATTTTATTCGGCTGCCTGGACACCACCAGGTAGTGGAGATTTAAACCAGCAACCTATTTAAACGAAAGCTGACTGCGAATACTAGTGAGTCACTGCTTCACAATCGCATGATAATAAAATTAAATATAAGTATTAACACGTCATATAAACTTGTTTTACTCACCTCTCTTAAGCTCTTATCACCATTTGCATACATAGACTTATTTGAATCTACTATTCCACCATCATGCATAATGCCTACATCATTTAACTGACGCTCCTTGCTACGACCTCTAGATCTAAGAGCACAGTTTTCCAATTCCGTCTGTGAACACAGGATAAATCATGAAGGGAAATAAATGTTGGAGCTTAAATGTATGAATATATGCAAGTTTATGGGTTGCAAAAGGTATTCAAACCTACAACTACTGACCACTGAAGAAAGATTGAAATCAAAATAAGTTACGTTCAAACCGGCTGCTTATCACGTTACACTCTATATCACTCATTGAACGTTTTGCCGTCCAATAAAATTAAGTTTGTCTTATATATGCTGAAAAAATAAAACCAGTCACCCATTCCAATTCCTGCTGTAATGCTATGAAGAAAAGCATGAGCAACAAAAACTCAGAGTTTCCTTTAAGACAAATTAAAAAGACAGAATCGGCTAATAGATGATGACCGGTTCGCTAGTTGCCCCCGAATGCCCTGGTACGGCCGAGAGTGGGGAGAGTCCGCTCTCCCTCTCGAAATACTCTCACACGGCCGCGCGTATATAGCCTCTGCCAGGGAAGTCCTACTCATTGCCTTCTCGTGACGGGGGTGTTGTTTACGAAAATGAGAGGACGAAAAGCGAATACCCGGCGCTTTGACCGGATCACAAACCAATGGTGCACATGGGCTCCAGTATCCTGGGGGAACAAATGGCGTATGAACCAATCGTTGGTCACCGGCTACCATGGGATCGCATCTCCTTACGATGCTCCACTGCCTTGTGGGTTAGACCTTTAGGTCAAAGGCTCGGGGAGTGGCCCCCTATGAAAACCACCTGCTTCGGTTTGGGCACACGGGCAGTATCACAGCCCACACACAAATGATGACCTCTCTATGTCTATGAAAACTACATTTCTCGCTTCGAAAAACAATCAATTGATTCAAATTATCATCATTACTATTATTCTCATTATTAATACTATTATTATTATTATCACTATTATTGTCATTATTATTATTATTATTATTATATTATTATTATTATTATTATTATTATTTTCCACATTATTCACCCTCTTTTATACTTATACAGCGGCTCGTCTTTGGTGGAAATTCGACTGTATCCAAACGTTCTCGAGTCACTGTCCGGTTGAAAATTGTATGTTACCACCGAATATGAGTACTGAAGCAGTTTTTCTGAAACCACGTGCACCATTCAAACCGGCTGCCTTCAACGTTCGCACACTTATGCAGGTTGGACAACAGATAGGGCTGGCTATGTCTTTGGAAAGTCTTCATATCGATGTCTGCTGTCTATCCGAGAACCGTATTGAAGACTCTGGTGAAGTACTACAAATTCGCTCTACATCTGTCACTTCAAAAAGCTTGTTTTACGTGCGCTTATCCGGGGACCCTGTGGCATCTTCGTCCGGTCTTGCTGGCGTTGGTGTCGCACTAAGCGCTAGAGCTGAGGCAGCACTAGTCGATTGGATCCCCAATAACAGTCGGTTATGTGCTGTTAGATTAGAAAGTTCCATCAAAGTGAGAAGAAATCGGCGTGAGAAACGATGTCTTTTCGTCATTCCCGCCTATGCCCCGACAGATTGCAGCCCGGATGCAATCAAGGATGAGTTCTACCACCAGTTATCTGTTCTTCTCCAGAAAGTGCGTTCGACAGATATTGTAGTACTAGCCGGAGACTTGAATGCTCAGGTCGGGCGTCTAGGCACAGAAGAGAATCGTTTAAGTGACTGATGGGGACTTTTTGGTTGAAGGACAGATAATGAGGACCGTCAACGGCAACTGTGCACAGACCACAACCTGTTTCTGGCTAGCACTAACTTTCGGCACAGTCATCGCCGATGTGCCACCTGGCGTCCTCCGTCTGCATCCCAAGCCTGGACTCAGATTGATCACATCGCGATCAGCTACCGCTGGCGTGGTTGTGTAAAAGACTGCCGCTCCTTTTGGAGTACCTATCTGGACTCTGACCATGCCTTGGTCTGCGCCAATCTTACCTTACTTTTCAGTGGACAACGAAGTGACCGCCATCAACGGATTGATATTAGCAAGCTGGTTGCAACTTCTGTTGCAAGTAGGTATCGAACCGAGCTAGCCTCTAGGCTAGCTACCACTCCACCGAAAAGTATAGATGAGTATTGGTTGCAATTGCATGACGCCATGAAAATGGCGGGTACAGTCAGTTGTGGGTTCGCGAAACGTCCCGCTTATAAGCACTGGGTTTCTGCAGGTTCCTTACAGCTCATTGAAGCCCGTCGGTCTACTCCGGGTGACCGTGAGTTTGACCACAAACGAAGGTTGTTACGTAGGGAAATTGGGCAAAGCTTGCGTAAGGAACGAGAAGCCTGGTGGTCGAAGCGTGCTAATGAGCTGAAAACAGCAGCTGCACCTGGTAACTACCGGAAGCTCTTCCAACTCATCCGAGCCACTGGCAGCAAGAAGTCTGGTGTGAGTGAAACAATCTGCGAGGATGATGGGATGCCAATCACTAACATCCATCGACGTCTTGGACGATGGGCAGAATTCTTCGAAGGGCAGTTCAACTGGCCTGCTGCTCCGGCAACATCGGTCAGAATGTCCTGCCCTCCATGGCCGGTGACGACTGATCCACCAAACGAGGAGGAAGTCCGCAAGGAACTCCAACTCTTGAAGCGTTACAAATCACCTGGCCCAGATGACTTACCTCCGGCTCTTTTTAAAGATGGTGGTGGCTTTTTGACTAAGGAATTGACGACGTCGTTTACAAAGGTTTGGGAACTAGAGAGTGTACCAACGTCATGGAATGAGTCGATAGTTGTCCCTATCTTTAAAAAGGGTTCACGTCGTTCCTGTAACAACTATCGGGGGATAAGTCTACTTCCGATTGCGTCCAAGCTATTGGCTTCCGTCATACTTCGTAGGTTGTTCAAAACCCGAGAATGATTGACTCGCGAGGAGCAGGCTGGGTTTCGTTCTGGTCGAGGATGTATTGATCATATCTTCACCCTCCGTCAAATGTTAGAACACCGTCATACTTATCAAAGGCCGACAATCGTAGTGTTTCTTGACATCAGGACTACCTTCGATTCGTTGGACAGAACTGTTCTCTGGGATTGTCTATTGAAGAAGGGTGTGCCTGAGAAGTTTATTAACATCCTAAAAGCCCTATATACAAACACCTCAGGCAGAGTGAGGGCATACAACCACCTCTCTCCATTGTTCCATTCGAGCAGTGGGGTTAGGCAGGGTTGCCCAATCTCACCATTCCTCTTCAACTTTGCCATCGATGACATTCTGGAAACAGCTCTGATGAATGTAAGTAATGGTGGTGTGGACCTGTTGCCTGGAGAAAGACTTCTCGACCTTGAGTATGCGGACGATATTGTCTTACTGTGCGATAATGCCCAAGGCATGCAATCCACACTTAATCAGTTGGCAATCAGTGTCCGTAGGTATGGTATATGCTTCGCACCTTCGAAGTGCAAAGTACTTCTACAAGACTGGCAGGATTCCAATCCTGTACTCACCCTGAGTGGTGAGCAGATAGACGTAGTCGAGAAGTTCGTGTATCTGGGTAGCTGCATAAGTGTTGGTGGGGGTGTGAGTGATGAGATCAATGCACGTATAGTGAAAGCCAGAACGATTTATGCCAATCTGAGCCACCTTTGGCGCCTTCGTGATGTTAGTCTGGCTGTAAAAGGTCGGATCTACAACACGTCGGTGAGAGCAGTCTTGCTCTATGCTTGTGAAACCTGGCCTCTCCGAGTTGAGGACGTTAGACGACTCTCTGTGTTCGATCATCGTTGTCTCCGAAGGATGGCTGACATCCAGTGGCAACACCATGTCAGTAATGCAGAGGTTCGACATCGTGTGTTCGGGCACAGAAGCGATAATTCAATTGGTGTCACCATCTTGAAACACCGACTTCGGTGTCTTGGACATGTTCTCCGAATGTCGTCCCAGAGAATTCCACGTCGTGCATTATTTGCCGACTCTGGGACTGGTTGGAAGAAGCGGAGAGGTGGTCAGTGCATGACATGGTGTCGTGGCATGAAAGAAAGCTGCAAAGGACTGGCTTCTGTCGGTCCTTCACGACTCCCTGGTTGGGGTCCGAGAGATGGTGTTACACAGTGGCTAGAGACGTTATCAGATATGGCTCAGAATAGAAGCCAGTGGCGATCCTGCTGTAACCTTCTTTTAGTTTCTTCATAAACAGTGGTTGTGTCCCCCTTACTTGAAAGATTTCTTCCGATTGTACCTTTCCGTTCCCTCATTACTACCATACTACCTTACATCAACCTCTTCGTTATTGTTCTCTTTTCTTTTGCGCTCCTTAGCTTTTTCTTCTTTTCTGTTTCTCTTCGAATTCTCATTGTTTTGTGTGGCGCATATATATTGGCGCTCTCTTGTACCAATATTCATGTGTTCAAATAAATAAATAATCGCTAGTTGAATTGTAACAAAGGTATCACACAACAGTAAGTTACGCGTGGCACAAGTCCATGAAGTTACTGACAAGTGGACTGAGCCATGTTGGTAGGTGTATACTACCTGGTTGGGGACCGAGAGATGATAGCAACCGACAGTTAGAGACCCTGAATGATATGGCTCAAAATCGTTTGCAATGGGGCAGGTGCATCCACTCTTTGTGTTCTCCTAAATTCTAATCTCCTGAATCCTCCTTGTCTCTTTTTTTCTCTTTCCAAATTTATTTCACTGGATTATACTCTCTAAATAACATCTTCAAACCCTAATGTTTCCGATTACTGCTTATACTCTTACCGCCTCTACCACTACGGGATCTGAATTGACAACTGCATCTCTGTGCTAATGTGGTGTGTACGTACGTACGAAGTTCTCCGTTGTTACTGACTGACTGAAGTTTCGCATTTTGAGTCTGATATGTCGGAGGACGTGATTGATCAACAAGCGAAGGTGGACACATCAGAATGTAGAATGCATATCGAGACTACACAATATTGTAAATTCGTTCCACTATGTATTCGATTGTATTCTATTATGTATTTCACGCTGTGTAACAGCTTACAATTTGTGTTAATAAACGGCTATTTTAGCTAATAATCTGGTTCTAAATCTCTGTTCGGAATTGTACACCATGTGATTTTATCTGGTTATCTAACTATCTAGCGTGTTATATGATATCGTGATCGAGCATGTCATGTTTGTCAAGTCGTATTGTTTATCATCAAATGTATGGACGCGAAACTGTCTTTTTACCGTTACATCAAGGACATTCGAAAATTTAGTACTTTGTGAAACTTAATAATGAAGCGTATTCACAGTCAAACAAGAAACGTATTTCAAGCTTGCATCGTTCAACACTGATAATCATCTTGTTTACTAGCTGATGAATAATTTCTTTAAAAAACTCAATAGTTGTACATACGCTTACGCTACAGAGGAACTTCACATTTGATTATATGACGATTTAAACGAAACCTAAGTGAAAGACAGCCTATGGATTCTGACCATACGCGTAAGGTAAAATGTTAAGTGAGTTTTAATCATTTTAATGAGCAAATTAGTTTCAAGACCATAAAATCAAATCAATATTTCGAATAATGAAGACTGAAGTGTCGTAAATACAGCGAGGTCCGGAGATCCTGGGGTTAGGTCTCTAGTATGCATCGTAAGTACGTCATACTAAAAAGAAACGATTGTTTATTCTTTCCTGGCTTTTGTTGACTTTCTAGTTATCTTCAGAGTAACTTCTTTAAATCGTATCACGATAGATAGACTATTGACACTCTTGGCTTCATACAAAAAATAAAAACTTTTATGTTGGGTCCCAGTAAATAATATGTTTATGAACGAACCTAAATATGCAAACAACTCATTTTGCAAAATTCATTATCTCTTACCTGAAAACCAGCTATAATAGACTCTTGAGTAGCAAGCTTGTGAGAAATTTCACGATATGCTTCTTCAGCTTCATCTGCACGACGTTTCTGTGACTTAGCAGCTCGTTTCAATGCTTCTTTTGTTTCTCGCATACGTTCTAAACTGACTTCAGCTGTTTCCAGACGAGCTTGATTCTGTGCTTGCTGTTCTGCTAGACGAGTTTCCAAATTACGTACTTGGACAGACAAACTAAAACAATGACAAAAACAAGTGTGTAACGGCTAAACCGTAAAAAAGGTTTTGTTCGGAAACCAATTAGAATTTGACAATATGATATGATTTATAGGTCTATACATAATTAGAATTTAAAATATTAAGTTGGAACTTGTGGAATCAATCGTGAGATGAAGAAGATTTGTAGCTGAGGTGGATGATTATGGTGGAGTTTCGTCCTTTGAGCTGGATGGTTTGGTCCTGGAGCTTTCATCGTTATTCTGAACAAACGTCTACCCGAAGTTTGTGCTGAATCAATCTTATTTTTCCCATAGCTCAATAAATTAAACACTAAATTATGATGAAGTCTTAGAGCTCAGTTAAAATTTATTCTCAAACATCATTGTCTTTTCAACTAAGTCGGATGTACTTCATTGAATTTTAACAAATGAGCTCTAATTGTTGAAGTAAATACATGTAATTAAAAATGTGAACGCCCAAAGCTAGATGGTTTTCTTGAATCTATGGTTTGGTTCCCCAACGTCCTTTTGTGAAGATAAGCATCAACGATGTTATGTTACAGCAGGGTTTGAGATCGTATATTTGACATAAAGAAACAATGAAGTGATTACAGTTTAGTAAATGTCCTAATTCGAAAGTCGTAGACAGCACACACGAAGTAATAAAATAGAAACCAGGATCAATCATGAACAGATAATAAAAAAACTAACCGGCTGCATTCTGATTCACGTTGACGTAGTTGACGTTGCAAGTGATTTTTAACAGACTCCATGGATTCATGTACTGTATTGAATTTTAAGCTTTCATTTTGTTGTTCATCCAATTGTTTACGAGCCAGTTCCAAATCAACTTCTAAATAACCGAAAGAGGAAAACGCATTCAATGTAATAATCGTATAAGTAAAGCAAACAATAGAGACCCAGTAAACTACATACACTTCTTACTAAGTTATGAATCGAATTCACATTGCATATGGAGACTAAGTATACTACTAATTTATCCATGATAAAGCAGACAGCATGTATGAAACTCAATATGTGATAATTTGTAGTGTCTAACACTAGGTCAAGGCCATATAGGTTATCCTAGCTTCCAGACAAACCAGTCTATTCATTTTTCTTCAGTCACATTTTACCTTGTCAATTATTCTCTTATTAAGTAGACTGTTTTGCATGAGTGTTGTACGTGTATCGTTTACCCTATTCATCACATATCTCACATAGCTTACTTTTTCTGGCTACAAATATTGAGTCACGTCTCATAAAAATGGGAGTTGGCACACCTGCCTTCCCGCTTCTTGTTCTTAATATGTGTCTGAACAAACGAGTGCCTGAAATAGATTTATCCGACGCAATCTGTATTTAGCTTCTCACAACCGCCGTCACACAAACAACTCTAGACTAGATGTATTATACGGAATTATGACATATTTAAATGTTCATTCCAATCGGATTCAGATCATCAGACCACTAAAAATTCGTGAGAATTAAAGTAAAATTCACTCCAATGCTTTTTAATATGAGTAACTAACTGTCTCACATCTGACATAAGTGACTCAGTGGATGAATGTAACTCATTTACGTATTTGACTTCCAGGCAAACTTTTACGTGACGGCTCTAGCTCCTCGATCTGAAGTAGGTAGTAGAATGTTCAGACGTACAACATACCGGTTGAAAGGAGAACCAGTTAAAACGAATAATCAACTGCTCTACTTTGTGGTTTAACAGAAACGTGTGTACTGAAAGCAATGAAGGTTTAGAGTTTGATTAGGAGTGAAGTTGTGGGTATATACTGCTAGGAATTTACAGATTGGACGAGATATCTATTTAAGTTTCCGTTTTTGGGCAGATAATTTCACTTCATGATTAAAACTATCTTTGAATAGTAAATGTGTTTAAATAATAAGTAACACACGAGACCTACCCATTCGGCCCAGTTTTTCTGTCAAACGTCGAACTTCAGAGGTTAAAGTGGCTTCACGGTTTTGTGTCTGAGCTAAGCGATTATTTAAAATTTGATCTTGTTGTTGTTGAATACTTGAAGCCCAGCGACATAACTCTCGTCCTGCACACCCAGCGACTTCAGCATGTAATAGTAACTCATCCCTTGGTTGAACAATACGTGACATATCATGTGAGTCAACACGTCTTCCTTCATATGCAACCTACGATGAGGAATACCATAATCGAAGGAGAATTGTTAATCAAATCTAATAAATATAAGAAATGAAACCTTGTAGAAACTAGAATTAATGTATGTTCCTGTGATACTTTTCAGTTGAAATAAGATTTTTCAGGTCCAAAACTAATCTTTGTAGTAAACGTAAATCCATGTAAAAGTTAACAGTATGTAACCGATTTTCTGCAATATAATGAGGAATATAGACCCTAATAATGAACATTTACAACAAAGGACGGAGATTTTATTTCATAAACACGGAAGTGTTTGTGCATCCGAAAACGAAAAACTGGACATAAAGATGTAAAGTTTAGGTTGGCACATTGGTTAGTAATTATATCCTGTTCCGTGAGGTCCTAAAAACAAAACATGTTTAGTACAATTATGTTTACTCACCTACTTAAAAATGATGGTCTTATTATAGTGCAAGGAGAATTTTATAAACTTTTAAGTGATCAGAGTAAGATGAGGATTTGCTTGACGTTTTGGTGAACAAGAGCCCTATTTAACTACAACCAACACCTAAAAGCATTGTAAATTTTACGTTACAGACAGCGTAATGATTATGAAATTTAAGATGTCGTGGTATTTAGTTGTACATAAAGATTCTCCACTCCTGTATATTGATTTTTCCAACCTTACTTTGACTTCAGTATTAATAATCTAAATCTGGTGCTACAATGAGTGCAGTGGAAGAGTTAAACTCAAAGGTCTACACATAAACCAAAAGCACAATTAATTAGCATCTTCACAATGATTTGGTTACTTAAGTCATGTTGGTCGATCAGCTACAACGTAGGACCGGGCAAATATGTGCATCGGTTCAAATTGCCACACCTCATTAGCACAAAAAGATGAACAGCAAATTCACAGTAGTAACTTCAATGGTAGTAATATATAAAAGAAGGATTGCATATAAGGATACTGAAGTCATGTACCCACTCGAAACCGTAAATAAACGTTGAAAGAAAACAGACAGATGTTCACCATTGAATAATAATATTGTTCATCAGTATATGGTTGTGGAGACTGTGGAGCTTTTATTGAAATCATCAACTGATCAATGTTAAACCACCATTGAAAACCTGGGAGCACTAGACGGCCGTTTCGTCCTAGTACGGGACTCCTCAGCAGTGCGCGTACACGATCCCACACGCAGGACCTGGATCCAGGACCCTTGGTACCGCGCGAGCACATAACCCCTAGACCAGTGAGCCGGGATCCAAGTGTTATTGTCTAACCTCATGATCTCAATAAAACACTGACTGTATTAATACTGGCATAGAACTAGACTATCAAAATATACTATTCAACATTCTGGAGGTTCTTAGAGAGAAACACTACACTATGATTCTACGTTACTTGTCACTTTGACTTCATGATTCGAATGTGATGTTTTTGTCACTTTTTTTTCTATTTAAGAATTTTCCTGCTGTACAATTTTCAAAGCCACAATCTGACTGATGTGTATCCACATAGCATATTTTTTTCTGAAAATAGAACTGTAATGAGCCAATTGTTATTCATTTCTAAACTTATTCAGTCTTAAGTGCGAAGGTTCCATTCTACCTTTATATTTGTAAGCGATGTCATTTCGCAAGGGCGAAACTTTTCCAAAGACATTTAATCTTACCTGTTCTAGACAATCCACTATATTTCTTGCTGATTTCGCAATATGATTAGTCGCAGTATCCAAGTCTTTAATCCATTCATCTAAAACCACATTTGTCAACAATGATCCATCATTTAGTCTGCCTTCAAAATCCTTGTTCTTTCCTGCGATATAGGTAGGCTTAATTGTTTCCTTATGCTTCACAGAACTATATGGTTGCTCTTGCATCGAAATATTATCATGGGGACTAAATTGTTTAGAGTACTGATCCTGTGGCTCTTTGTCAGATTCCATACCATTTAACTGTATAAAATCCTGAACGTAAACAATAAAATATGAATGAGAAAAAAAAGTATATTTACTTATCCGTATATTTGATATAGAATTAGGAACTTGAACAAAACTACTTTTAGAACATAACTGATATTATTTTGAAAAAAGGGAACCACAAGTAGTAAGCATACAGAACCACGGCCTACCTTAGCTCGCAATGTTTGGCGGCGTAGGAGTAGGTTAGAAAAAAACTAGGAGAGGAAAAACCAAACGTGGAACCAGTCCATTAATCCATCGGATGTCGAACCGAATCATGTTGGTATGTTCCAGCCGGTTAGTATCCGCGCGATTATCGGAACCAATCGCTAGAGATTTTGGGTTACCTGACTCAATCAGTCACAAAAGTGCAGATGTATTGACCTTTCGTCTTCTCTCAGATCTTGAGTATTAAAGTTGTCATACTTTTTATTCCTTAAATCTATTCTTCCTTCTGGAATCATGTCTATGCCTAATAATTTTTATTTCTACTTGCATTTACTATTTTTGCTACTCTGGTATTTGACTTGATAATTTGGTCTTGATGTGGTGTGGGAACTAAGATCGATGAACATTGTGCCATTTTCTAAGTTACGTAAGGCTGAGTGACTGAAAATTAAACCCTTGGAAACTAAGGTGCATTACCCAGCAGTGCGTTCTCAGGTCAAACACATTTTATTTTCCACTCTCTATCTGTCAACAATAATTATAAGATATTCAAGACTATTAGAGAACATACCTATTTGATATTTCAACCAATATTCCTGATTAATAAAGCTTTCATCCAAACCAGTCAAGTACTCAAAATTATCAACCTCAAAAACAGGGGGTTTTGAAGCACGTAACAGATATGACAGAGTTTATTGATGCAATATGTTTTGGCAAGAAGTTTTAAGGGAATACTCTACATATAAACATTTAGTTTACTGAGCAAAATAAGTTTATAAGTAGCGACGTAATGGTTTAGTCTGACAAAATAGATATGTTGAAAAATAAATGGAGAGCATAAACCAATTATTTAAATTATTTGCTTCAGAGAGTATTATTAGGTCTTGCCATTGTCACACCTATTTTTAAGTACATGTTGTGGAAATATTACAACCAAAGATTATTCCTGCTTGTTTTAAGAGGCGAATTGATGAGCCAGAACACTACTCATTAGTAAATACTGTTAATGATATATATGATATCAAAACTGAACGTCTTAACTCACCTTATGTACATCACTAATAGATTCCACAGAACGTGATCGGGATTTCCTTTCATTAGACTTCATTCTTACGCGACGTGTCGGGTCGTATACGTACCGCCCTGTAAATAATTTTTCAAGTAGGTCAGTATCCATTGTTTGTTAAGGAAAACATGCTCAAGTATCGAATGAAATGTATACTGCACAATCCATTAACCTGAGCAATTAGATAAAATGTACGTTATTTGCCAAAGTAGGAGATATGAACACCAACCTATTGTTGAAAGTTAGGTATCTAAGATAGTAAGCCTACCATTGTTTAGTTGATAAACATTCATTTTGTGTAGTAATTATGATACCAATACCAGAAAAAATATGCCCCACGGTTTCCCAAGCTACTGAGACGAAGAACTATGACACATGCTTGCTAATTCTGAACATCTCTTTTAACACGACGAACAAAATTTTTGTATTTGTTGAATAAATGCATAAGCTGATAACATCCCACATTCACTTCAGGTGATGAACATTAATCAACATTACTGATATAGAAACTAGAAAATAATTGCGTTGTGTTCAGATTTCTCTTGATATAAGTCAATTTAACCAAGTCTTGACTGCCACAGACTCCGTAACGAGTCTCTTAGGGTTATTGCTAGTTCCAAGAGCGAAGAAGGGAGAATGATTGAGAGTAAAGTTAGTAACCATAGCTCATACAAAAGAACATATCTACAAAGCGCTAACCAGAGTAAACTAAATAATTCTTTTAAGCTCTAACCTGTGGATTGAAGGGTTTTCACAAATAAGAGTTATGCTGCCTTATTGTGAAAGCCTATGTTTTTTGAAAGCCATTAAGCTGATGCCTCTTCTGACAATCAGAGCAACGATTAATGTAAGTACATAAAATTTCCAGGCAACGTGGAAGACCGAAACGGTAACTTAAATAACCAGTGAAGTGAGGAGATACGACCTGGTAGTGTTTGGAATAAGTGAAACCCATTGGGCCCTCAAATGCCCTGGTACGGCTGAGGGTGGGGAGAGTCAGCTCTCCCTCTCCAAATGCTTTCACACGGCCATGTGCACTGCCAAGGAAGTCCTGCTCACTGCATTCTCGTGACATTACTGTTGTTTACGAAATTAAGAGGACGAAAAGTGAATGTCCGGTGCTTTAACCGCGTTGTTGGACACAGAAAGTCCACCTAGGGAAGTTGGAGAACCCGCATTCCAAACTAATGGTGCACATGGACTCCAGGATCCTAAGGGAACAAATGGCGTATGAACCAATTACTGGCCACCGGCTACCATGGGACTGCATTTCCTTACGTTACAACACTGCCTTATGGATCAGACCATTAGGTTGAAGGATCGGGGTGTGGTCCCCTAAGAAAACTACCCGCTTCAGTCTAGGCACCCGGTTAGTAGCCCAGCCCTTTTGTAGTGCATATGTGGTGCATTTGTATTAAGTGCCCCTTCGTACCAATATTTATGTTCAGATAAATAATAAATAAACCCATTGGGCACAATCTAGACAAAAAGAGTAACTACAAAAAGTTGTTTATGACATGGAAGATTCAGATGCCAAACTCCTAAAACAACAGGATGGCTTCAGATTGCGTCGATCATGTATCGAACAAGTCGCGACAATGTTGAACCATCAATTAAACGGAACTGATCACTATACATCGACTTCCCTGATTAAGAGAAAGCAGTCAACATTGTAGATAGAAAAACCATGCGGAATCTTCCTCAACATTTGTAAGTGGCTGAAAAGATTGTTGGTATCCTATTGAACTCCTACAAGGAAGTACATCGCGAAGTCCTGCATGGAAGGAAGCTCACGGATGCATTCTGAGTCAAGACCGATGCCTACTTCAACAAAGCGACTATGACAACAGTAGTTTTGAACAAAAATAATGATGGAGCCAGGGTTTCATATTACAAAAAATCTACGTAAATATGGAGGAAGTGGAAAAACAGAGTTATAAACGCAGTAAAACTAAACTGCACCGATTAGCCTGAACTATCCTTTAAATAACCCAGACTAATTCTTAACTCATTCAGCCAACACCAAATATGAAATAATGACTTATACTGACAGGATTAGGATTATGGTTTAGCGTTAGAATCAGAAGGAAGAGCTTAGAATTAAGTTGCATAGTTTGGGATTTACATCCAGAGTTCGGGTTCAGGCTACATATAGAATGATCGTAAACTAATAAGCTGAAATCCTAAATTCAAGACTCACACCAGCACTTTAAATCTTAAAATTTAGTCCTGACCCCAAACTTCAGCCCCTAGTGATGCTCTGTGCTTTTCGAATGGACCAATGTTTTTGAGGATAAAAATCATTCATCCAGCAACATTTCCTCCATGAGATCATCTATTTTATCCTTGGTAGACTGAATGGTGGTTTGATATATGCGCTGTGACTTTGAAGAGGTTTTCATGTTCATCGCCGGTCTACATGGAAAGTTCGGTTTAACATAAAAACTACATCTAGCATCGCGAGTGCTGTCGTACACATCTTAATACTTTGGTAGGAAACATTTGAATATATTTACAACGAACTGTGATCACAAATTACAACTAAGCAATATACGTAGTATAGTCTTAACAGCGACGCGATTTTCATGAATGTGAATTAAGGCGTCGAAATAAAACAAATGCTAAGACTTTGCCGAACCTATTAGGATAATGTGGAAATTAGGAACATAATTCAAAATAACCTCAATTGCCGTAATCCGCAAGATCTGTGTAGTGTTTTTTTCCTAAACTTGTTCGTGTTAATAATGAGAAAAGTTGGCTGATACTTCAAAACAGTATCTTAATGAATTTGGCTCAATAATAGTAAGGATCAGTTGTGTATTTCGTATCCACAGGTCTTTCAAGTTAAGAAAATGAAAGTTGTTGGCAGAAGTAATCTATCTACAAAGATCAGTCATATTATATGTATATATACAATGAAATAAAAATAACTGTGTTGGAGCACATTTATGGAAAGTTATGTAGAATGAGCAATTATAATTTGTCTACTCAAATAGGAGTAAGAATGCTACTTAGCTCTACCATAATGCAGCCAAAATCTGTGTCAGCATGAACACTCATAAGTCCAAATAAATCAACAAAGAGAGCATATTCCCAGATGCACATCAATCTGCAACTTTCTACTTTAACCAAGAATGTGTCGTACTGCTGAGACAGGATAAGTAGAGATAAATATTACTTAGGGCACAAAGAAAACATGCATGTCTTGTTTAATTGGTATCCCAATCTCCCGATTGTGGGGAAATGGGACAAAATCCCTAAAACTTCCGCGAAATATAGGGATTGGGAACCGACTTTAACTCAAAACAAGCTGAATAACTAGGTTAGTAATGAAAGTGCTTTTACACCCAATGCACATGTTTTTGAAATATTTTACCCAACAGATATTTACCTGAACTTGTTTTTCCTGGTGGTGGGACCCATGGTGCTTGGTACTGACTGGTATCAGGTGTTTTTGGAGTTGTCGAACCAGACATACGAGACACCTGTGTTTTTTTATTGACATGAAGATGGATCGGTGTATCGCCAGGTATATGTAAGTGAATTGGGTTTCCATTGCCAGGTTGTTGAATATATGACGTATTTTTGCCTGTATTTTTAGTCATTTTGAAAACACACTATGTGGGCCAACAACAAGAATGAGAGCCCGATTGGACAACCGCTTAGGACTGAGAAAGTAAAACATTGGTCAAGGTCGTTTTGTCCATATAGTGATTCAAATAGTTTTTGATTGAGATCATGAACCGATTGATGTTAGACCACCGTTAGAAACCTGGAGGCACTAGATGGCCGTTTCGTTCTATTGTGAGACTCCTCAGCAGTGCCCATCCACGATCCCGCTCACGAGATTGCAACCCAGGGCCGCCTAGGGGCCGCGAAAATTCATGGATTGGTTGATGTTGGACACCAACACCAGTAGTTTAAGCGTTCGCGCTCAAGACTGAAGGAGTCTCACAATAGGACGAAACGGCCATCTAGTGCTTTCAGGTTTGCAACGGTGGTCTGACATCAAACGGTTCATGATCTTGTAGTGACCTACTTTTATCAAGAGAACGCGATTGGTTTAATAGAAACAATTATTATTGTAACCAATTGTACCAGTGATTGTTTTACTGTACTTGTTTGTTTAACTGTACTTAAGACACCCATTATTCTTCCATTCGTCCTTCCGTTTGCTGTGACTTTGCACGAACTTACATTCGCTCGGTGAATCCGCTTGTACTCGTGTGGCACGATCTCGGTATTCTTCCGATACCACGAGATCATCAACAAATATACTTCGCTACCACCTCCAATTGCCTTCTGATATCTGGCACGTAAACTTCTAGTGGTGGTGAGCATAGTCAACTGCAACTCGACGCCACGCTACAATCTCAGTCAAAAACTTAATAATCTCCACAATCCCTGTATTGATTCAAAATGTTCAATTGGTTTCGGACGAATACAAAAACTTTTTGCTTAATGGGCTTCCGTATCTGGTAGAGTTGAATCACCGATGCTTCCAGGCAAGGACCTAGGTATTACATAATGAATGAGGGAAAAAGTATTAATAAAACATAATGAAGAGTCATTCTTTGTTCTCAATAATATGTCAAATTTTCTCTTAAAGGACTCCTGAGAAGTCACTTGGATCACCTAAGTCCGCAGTGATTTCTAACACTTGACTACCCTTAGAAAGTAGAATGCATGTCTAAAGTCCGTTCTGCTACACCATATCTCTAATTTTGGGCTCTATCCCCAAAGCTTGCGTTGGGAATAGGCATGGGCAGGTGTTGCTCAGGTCACCTCTATGATGCCTCCACTCTAATGGGCCAAGGTTCATTGATTTGAGGCACACTTCATAAGGCTTGAATTTGTGTCTATAATCTTATTTCGTGGTTCGCCGTTGGATAAGTTCCAGCGTGCTTATCTTATTGGAGTAAGGAAGGAAGTATCATGTTTCGTACTCTAAATGGGGACGAATAAAACTTAAATATCAAGTGGAAAGTTCTACTGTCGATCCGGCCATAGACGCGCTTCGATATTACCACTGCAACGTTTGTTGGACAAACATTTTGGTCTCAGTTAGCGTTAGAAGTTAGATCACAGAGTGCCGAGAATTCTAGATCTTTTTCAAATTGAGATACCTCCAACAATAAATCGGCAAAGTTTTATGCATAGTCTGCAACATGTCTCAAATGGACTACTTTACACTTTGAAGTGTTAAAGGTCAGTCAGTTGTTATCTGCTCAACTTTGAAGTTAAGTTGGTTTATTCTGAAGCGCTAATTTATCCTCTTGGCTGCATACATCTCTCCAGTGTCCCACATGATCAGCGAAAGGTAACAAGTCTGACGATGCCTGGTGGGGAAGATCGTTTATGTAAACCAAAAAGTAATAAATCCTAGTTCTGAACCCTGAGGGAACGGACTAAGACATTCCATAGCTTGAGAGAAAGTGAAGTTAACGTTGACATTAAAATGTCGATCTTTTGGATATTAAGTGAGTCAACCAATTAGAGGTAATTGATACCTAATCATTTGACCTTATCGATACGACATATATGGTTGACCTTGGCAAAAACTTTCGAGAAGTCAAGATATATGACATCAACCTTCCCCTTACGACCAAGGATGGTGGTCAATCTCTCTATCGAGGTCAGCGGGTTGGTCATACAATAGTGACCCTTTTTGAAACCGCGTTGTTGGGATGAAAAGACGTTTATGGATAAGTAGTCGTGCAGACCGTCACATGTCGGGGACCCCATAATCTTCAAGGATATTGAAGGAAGTGCTGCCGGCCAGCAGCTTGAAGGTTCGTTGCGTCGATCTCCTTCGAAAATTGGTGTGATGTGGGCCAGATTCCAATCTACTGATAATGTGCTTCGGCTTAGCGAGTATGAGGACATCACGCTAAAAGGTGTTACTAAGATTGCGGCTGCTTCCCTCAGCATAACAGAATGAACCATATCCGGGCCTGGGAAGAGTCTTTTTTGGGTGCCGCAGTTTTCGGTACACCAAGTCAACACTGACTTCTGAGAGTCCTGCTGAGTTAGTTAGTATTTGTCGGTTAAAATGTCCAAAAACACTGTTTTGCCAGAAGGTCGTCGGCGTCACTATCGTTGTTGGTTGGGCTGTTAAGACCTGACAGTTGGGAAACTTTGATCTCAGCTTGCCGAAAAGAGACCGCAGAACAAGACGCGGAATAAGCTTTTCGGTTTAGGAACGAATTTGTCGATAAGTTTTATCTGGTACTGACGTCTGTCTTCTCTAATTGTCTCTGTGCATGGGTTTCTTGCTTGTTTGAATTGCATGTATGCGCCGTTGTCGCTAGTTTGATTGTACTCCGCCCAGTTTTGCTTTTTGCGGCTTGGCAGTCGAACAAATCGATTTTTAATGATAGTATGTTGCCTGTAGATTTTGGGAACCATTAGCGGAACAGAATGCTTTGTAGCACATCAGTTTGTGTGTATTAAGAAATTCCAACGAGCATCCATATCAAGTTGAGGGTGAGCTTTCCAGTCCATCTGTTGTATGTTGCTCTGTAAAGATGACAAACCTAACCGTCTGAAGTTCCAGCGCCTATCGTTAGTAAGATGTTTTACCTCAGTTTTGATGATAAAACTGAAAGGTATGACGAGGTGATCGCTCTTCCCCAGGAGAGCCAGCGTTGAAAGGTTGTCGATCAAAAATTCCTCATTTGCAAATACGCAGTCTAAGTTTGGGGGCGTCTCACTGATTCTCCAGTGAGTTTCTGACTTGACATTTCCGAATAATCCCAGATCTTCAGTGAAGTTGAAGAACTGGGCTTCAGTAGAATTGTTACATCCAATGTATGTATATTCAGAGGAGTTGACTTTGGGAAGATTGACGTCTACCAGAATAAAGATATGAGCGTATCCGAGATGAGAAGGGCAGGGCAATCCTTTCGGCATGCGATTGTCAAATTGCGTGTCAGCACTGGACTTCCAAGAGATGACTCTAACTAGACACGCTGAAGTATCATATAATCTTACTGAGGGCCATACAGATTAATGAAGATTGACGAACTCTTGGTTGTGAACGTGACGTACTTCTGAGTGAGATCGCAGGTACAGGGATATTCTGCCCCCGTTCCTGCTTTTCCGCCGCTGCGAAACAAAGATATCCCGGGTATTGCCATCTCCATGTCCGCAATTTGAGAAGGTATCTATGTTTCAAATATTCCTATCAGATGAGTATTATCAGTGTTACTGAGTTCACGCAACTGATCCATCTTGTTCGGTAAACTCGCGGCGTTCATGTGTTAGCATTTCCTGCCCTTTATTTGAAACACGTGAGCTTTCCCGCCCTGTTTGTCTGTATGAGCCTTATGTAAGTGAACAGGTAACCTACCTACAAAGGTTTTTCCGATTTGGCAGCTCATGGTCTTTCTGCGGTTTTTTCATAGTCTTGGCAGTTCACAAGTGGAATACTAAGCCCCAACTTGCTTCCGAACTTGATACTGGCATCATGTAGTCTATCCGGATGCATGTGGATTTCAGTTGGCATCCAGCGTCTGTCGTCACAAAATGCTTCACGAGTGGTAGCCGCCATATGAGAGGATAAGAAGGCTATCTTTATCAGCTAGGGTCCAGGATCCCCGTCCTTCTTGACTAGTCTCACCACTTGTTGAATCAATATATTTTTGAGCTTCAAAGACTACTTGATGAATTTCCACTCCCGAATATCAAGTCTAAGTAGTCGGGGTCCGTGTTTTCTGGCACGCTTTGCACAATGATATTTCTTCTACAGATGAATGTCCCTCGAGGCTTCTCGAGAATGTTTCTGATGAGACTGTGCTCAGAATATGGTATATTAGGCAGTATTCTTGCATCTCCATCTGATCTCAGTAAATGACTATCCATTAGAACGTCCTCTACACCGGCAGTGTCAGCGAACGTCATAAGGAGTATTAAATGGTTTCAGTGTTTGAAGTCCCCCCCCCCGGATTAGCCGAGTTACCTTCAGAAGTTTTACTTTGAGAAGTTTGAGCTACCTGTTTAACTCTTTCCGGAGCACCCTGTTATAGCAATTTTACTAAAATCAATTTCAATTTTGGTTAACTTTTGTTGAACCCTTTCTATTCCGAGTATTACTGGTCAAAAACTTATTTTTGGGTGTTGTGATTTATGAATTAGAGACGATGAATTTTCAATCCTAATTTGTGGATTCCTCACTACTTATTGTGGACCACCTATCCTTGGTCTAGAAAATCCATGAATGCTTTAGGGATGGCTTCTCTCATTGGCCACTGAAGACGGTTTTAAGATTTTAAGAATACCTTGACTTTGCACTCAGTTATATGTTTCAACATGTATTATCCTTGCATGACTTTGTAACAGCTTAGGTTGATTGGTTAAGAGTTGACCCGAAACAACTAAGCATATGTCAAAACAGTAGAGTACAAGTGTTTATTCACTTCCTTATTTTGTATAGGTGTTATATTTCCTATTATCTTATATTGAATGTTGAGAGGCTTTGTTTGTCTGGACAGATAATCCAACGCTCCACTGTGAATGCGCGAAGATCAAAATGAGGACCTATCCACTACTAGTCTGGTTTCTTCTATCGATAGCACGAGGGTCACCTACAGGCACGAAAAGTTCATCAAAATGATTAGAAATTCTTCTAACATAAGGTACTTAAGGTTTCGTCAGTCATTGTGAAAGGTTATTGTGGTCTCCTGGT